TTCCAGCTTCAGATGATCCAATCAAGATCTCTCTCATTTCAGTTAATCCCAGATCCAGTCAAGTTGACACCCAGGATTACCCATCACAAATACATAGCATGAAGTGTGGAAAGATAGGTGAGGCAAAGCTGAGCATATTTCAACTGTTAAGGCAAAATCAGAAAAAAAAATCGGAAAAAAAGGTGTGATAAATGATATATGATAATAACTAAAAGCAATATAACTCTAAAAGAGCTATTTAGGAAGATGTGGTAGATTAACTAATACCTCTGTGAACTAATACAAGTTCTATTGAGTATTAAAGCTTTAAGCATGGATTTGAATAAGAAATAGCAAATAGTAAGAGAATGCTAGAAAAGGCATCAGAATAGAAAAAGCATACATCCTGCCCCAAACAGCCTGCTACAAAAAAGTCAGGCATCACTATTCAATAGCAGAACTCTTTCTTATTGAGCCTGGTGACCTTCCTCAATCCACTGTTCCTGCATCCCACAAACAATAGAGAAACGTAGGCCCAAGGTGAAAACCACAAACCCTTGATTATTGAGTGGGACTTCTCAAACCCAGATGCTGAACAGGGAGTTCTATGTGGGCTTTTGTCTGATTGGGTTTGCACGGGTCTTGTGCATACTGTCAACACTGCTGCAAGTTTATATGAGCAAGTTCCCAGAAGCCTGGAAGACTTGTTTCCTTATGGTCTTGCAACAGCCAGGTCTGGCTCTTACATTCTTTCCACCCCCTCTTCTACAATGGTCTCTGAGCCCTAGGTGACCTTTAAAATTTTTTTTTATTATACTTTATGCGTGCTGCGTGCATGCATGCATGTGTGTACATGTGTACATGATAGAACACGCTTATTGGTTCGCTCCCTCCACCATGTGGGTTCTGGGAAATAAACTCAGGTCTTCAGGCTCAGGGGCAAGAGCCTTTTACTGGCTGAGCCATCTGTGCAGTCCTACCGCGTTTTTTCAATATTCAATCCTTTGTTGGACACATAATTTGTAGATATTTTACTTTAACTTAAGTTTTTTGTTATTCATTTTGAGAAAGTCCAATTCATGATTTTTTTTCTTTGAAAGGTTGTGGTTTTGGCATATTTAAATACAAGATTCTGAGGGTTTTGTCTTGCTTTTTTCTAAAGTTTCATAAACTTTGAAATTTTTATTTTCATTTAACTTTTGTATGAAGGGCAATTAGAGTGAGAAAACATTTTTGGGGTCTGAATATTCAACTATTTTAAAATCACTTGCTAGAAGATTGCCCTCACTGCATGGAATTGCTTTACCACTTTGCTTCAAAATCAACTGGTCATATTTATGTATACCTATTTTGGGACTTTTTGTTGATACAAGCAGCCAAGTCTGAAAATATATACTGAACTTAAAAGAGGTGGAAGGACCAGAACAATTTTTAAAGAAAGAATAAATTTAGGAAGATTCATAGGACACAATTTAACACATGAGACTATAACACTCAAGACAAAAGTGCTAAATATATAGGTTATGGGAGAGAATGTAAAAAATCCCAAATGTTCACAGCTGGATGAGACTGATGATTACTTTTCTCCTCTGGTAACATGCACAGCACCTTCCAGCACTATGAAAGCTAGTCAGTAGGGATGAAGCTTCCAGGTCAGTACCAGCTTGATTCCCCCATGTTGTCTCAGTATGTGGTGTTCAGCAACAGGGTCTTACTGTTAAGTTCTGTAGCATAATCAATAGCAATGGCAATAGCCTATAATGTTTGGGGGTTGATGCGACCCCACTGGGCAACAGCTCCAAAAGAGGGAGTCCGTTCTGGCACTGGTGTTTTTTACTCAAAGTCATTCCAAGAAGATGTTCTCATACGGTTGTTCAAACAGAGTCTGAGCATCTCTCAAAGTCATATGCATATTCCGTTAGTGAAGGGAGTGTAAACAGTGAGGAAGCATCAGGCAAGGAGGTTTGCAGGGGCAAGGAAGGAGAGCTTTCACACAGCCATCTTAAGCCAGAGCATACAGTCTGCAGCTAGTGGTTTGAATTACAGGCAAGTGCATGTGTAAGTGCGTTTCCTTCCTTCACTCCAGTCACAGTTCCTTTGGGAAGCTCTCAGCAGAACCAGGGTTAGAGAAATTTTATTCCTGGGAGCCTGACTATTGTTTTGACTGGCTTGCCGCAATGCTGAGGGCTGGAGTTTGAATGAGTCCCAAGCTGGTTGATGAGTTCAGGGTCTGATACGATTTTACTGGTTTTGATTTCATTGGTTGTTGTCCAAAGCTGGGATTCTTGGAAGTCTGGGGAGAGTGATTTCATCCTCCATAAAAGCTGATTCCTTTTTTTAAGGTACCCAGTGGAAGCTGTGACCCAGAAATGTACACTAGGAAGTCATCACAGGTGGCCATTTGAATGCTGGATTTGTTGTGGTCTCTGAAAAACCAAGAAGAGAATTTGACTTTGAAACGCCCATGCCTTAAGTTATCTGCTTTGCTCTTTTTGTAAAGATTTGTTTTCTTGCCAAATGTAACATTCAGTTACTAAGTGGAAATGTAAAAGTTTACAATTTCATGAAAATGCCAAATGGTTTTAACAGGGCTGTTCCTTCCCCCATTGGCCACCTTCTCAGTTCACCACTAGAGAGCACTGTTGGCAGTGAGATCAGGACGCAGCAAAGAAGGAACACTGCTAATTTCTGAATTGTTTTTTGAGATCTTTCAGTTTTTTTTTCTTTCAGCCAGTAAATAAAAACGGAAATTTAAAAACTACTCAATTTACTATTTTGCTCTTCTATTTTTAATTTGCCTCAGATACTTCTAGACTTTTTGTGCATTAGTTAAGTAAAAGATGAACTCATTATAAAATGTGGTTCTAGTTTTCTAACAAATGCTGCCTTTGGAATCTGTCCTTTTTGCTCCTGTAACATTATACACTCTTGCACATCCCATTTGGGAATGTTAGTGAGGACTTGGAGACTCATCATTTTTTTTTCCCCCAAAGGGTGAAAATATTTTATTTTCCAAGTTACATCTTCCTGACATTTGTCAGAGGACTTCAGAGTGGCAGTGGGGTTTCCTGGGTATCTAGTTCAAATATTTATAACAGATGGAATCGTTTTTTTCTTTGTTTTTTAAAAAAGATGTATTTATTTTGATTTTATGTCTGCGTGTTATGTATGTGCATCACATGCAATGCAGTGCCTGTAGATACCAGAAGAGGGCGCTGGATGCCCTGGAACAGGAGTTACACATGGTTGTTAGCCATCATGTGGGTGTTGGGAATGGAACTTGGTCCTCTGCAAGAGCATCCAGTGCTCTCTAACCCTAGTTGGAATCTTTTCTACACACTGACGGTAGACAGGCTGTCAAAACCTGAAAATGATAGAAAATTTCTCCCATGGTTGTTTGGTGCCCCCTCCACTGTAGTTACCTTCTGGGGATATACACCATGATCCACTGTAGTTACCTTCTGGGGGATACACACCATGATCGATCCACTGTAGTTACCTTCTGGGGATACACACCATGATCCACTGTAGTTACCTTCTGGGGGATACACACCATGATTGATCCACTGTAGTTACCTTCTGGGGATATACACCATGATCCACTGTAGTTACTTTCTGGGGGATACACACCATGATCGATCCACTGTAGTTACCTTCTGGGGATACACACCATGATCCACTGTAGTTACCTTCTGGGGGATACACACCATGATCAATCCACCGTAGTTACCTTCTGGGGGATACACACCATGATCGAGCCACCGTAGTTACCTTCTGGGGGATACACACCATGATCCACTGTAGTTACCTTCTGGAGGGATACACACCACGATCGATCCACTGTAGTTGCCTTCTGGGGGATACACGCCATGATTGATCCACTGTAGTTACCTTCTGGGGGATACACACCATGATCCACTGTAGTTACCTTCTGGAGGGATACACACAGTTCAAGTTTTGTCCTACAGCACAGCTCACCTTGAGGAATGTGTTCACATTCGTTTTCTCTGTGGTGCTTTTCTTTTAAAAGTTCTCCTGTGGCTTATGTGCACAACGGCACAAGCAGTCTCTATTAAACTTTCGATCTTTAGTACCTTAGGCTTCTGCGTTACGTTCGGCACAGAGAGGCCCAGCATGTAAGCCATTCACAACCAGACCACAGATCTGGCAGGAAACTTGGCTGATGATGGGGCATCCCTGCCATTTCAAAGTGTCTTACTTATCTCACTCTGTACAAAGTTATTTTCAAACCCTTCACTTAACTTTACTTCCTCCTTCAGACAAATATGGCTTTAATTCATTGAAAACTCCAGGACCTCATCAGTGGGAAGGAACGCCAGTGAACACCAACTGCATATGTTTAAAATGGCATTTCCATCCCTGCTGTGTGCATGATCAACAGCCATCTGTATTCTCGTGTCTGGGGCCAGACCACCCTGAACATACCTGATCCAAACTCTCTTTCTTCAAAGCCTTTGAAAAGTGTTTCATTTTCTCAGTCATTAATTCATAAAGGACCAGATATGATCAGATACAAAAGAGGCATGAATTATATGTTCATGATTTTCTTTTAAAGTAGGGATAGTTTTCTTTCTTTTTTTAAAAAAAATTATTTATTTTTACTTTATGTGTATGAGTGTTTGCCTGCATGTATGTGAGTACACCCATGTCATGCAATGCCCAAGGAAATC